GAAGATTCCCATATTTTTCTGTATCAAGATGAAGTAGTACAAAGTCAAAAACTTCCTTTCCCAAAAATTAGTCACTCCTAAAAAAATAACCCCTTCAATTCAAAAATGACAAATTAAATAATTTTTAGGGAAGTTATATATTTCAGCTTGAATATATACTTGATAACTTAATTTTGAAGTTTTTCATTTGGTTTCAGTAATGAATTTGTTGCCATTCCCCATATTGATATTGGATATTCAATTCATGAATAGAATAACTGAAAGTAAATCAATTCAATGTATTTTAAAAATATTTCTGTTAGACGATAACACTTTTCTAGTGTACCTGTTTGAAGTACATCGAGTTCTCACAAAATGCAATGATCGTTAACATAGTGAATAATTAAGGTACCTTTATAGTTATCTAAATTTCAGTCCTGGCTCTAAACTTCGAAAGTAAATATTTAGCAAAGTATCCACTATTTGGAAAAAAAACTTCTTTGATGCATTCCTATTGAAAATTGTCTTATAAATAACCTGGTTGAAACCTCAATATTATTTACAACAAAATTCGGTGGTAAGTTCTAGACTAGAATCGTTAAAGGTATACCACACACAAGCTGAACAAATGATATCACGCATTCCTTCTACATAAGATCAGTAACGCATTTTCACTTTCAGTCATTGAATGAAACAATTGAAACACACTATTTACACACACTCAGTTTGCTCAAGGTTGCACTTCACAAACAAAATACGTTTCGAATGAACAAGGCGAATCGTTCCACTTCAATCCCTTTCCGTCTCTGTTCCAAAGTTCTAAACAATTTTCCTGTTCTCCGTTTTCGTATTCGAAGTTGTTGGGTTCGCCAGCATTCCAGTTCGTGTAGGTGATCGGTCGACCGGTGGACATCCAGAAAAAGTTGCCCTCTTCCGCTATATCGGTTCCAGACGTCCAGAAATGTTCGTTTCCATAACCTGCAGAAAAATTACACATTACTGTAAGTGGCACGACTGGATATGAAGTACGGCATACAAAATGTTGAATTTAAGGTCATCTGAGTTGAATAACAAATCGGAAATACAAATATGTCGATTGTCTCAATTCCAAATCAACTATTCAGACCCTAATATTATATCTGAGCATATACATTATTGGATGGTAACTAAATTCACAATTGAACGGAAACATTAACAGACAAAACTGCGATCAGATTTTGAATGGAAGTAATAGAGGAGTTAGGCTACTTTTCACAAACTTGGAGTTGATACGTGGTTGATGTATTTTGACACAATTTTGTGACTTGATAGGTAAGGTTAGGTAAGGTCCATAGTGAGTGGGTCCATTCGATCCTCCACCTCAACCCGCAAGGGTTTATTGTGGCTCACACATATTCACACTCGACCAAATAAACCCAGCTTCTTAACGAAGCCGATTAGTTTATATGGTGAGTGGACTTTCAGGTCAGATAGTAAGAATATGGCTCTGTCGAACTCTAAAAACTTGATTCGGTCCCCAGCGGGGCAGGCACAAAGTATGTGCTCTGCCGTTTCATCATTTTCTGAACAGAGGCGACACACAGTGTCTTCCAACAGTCCAAGTCTCTGCATGTGATGATTCAAATGATAGTGACCTGTGAGAAAGCATGTTAGACATCATAGTTCATCCCTACTGTAGTACAACAACTGTTTGGTGTCAAGCTTCGAAGGGTGAATAAACGCCTTGAAGTGGGCCAATCCTGAAAGATTTTGCCAGAAATATATAAATCTTCTTGCTGCTCAATCTTTGTTTGGCAAAGAATAAAGCGATGTCAATGACAGGTTGTGGTCCGATGAAGCTGCTTGTAGCACCCTCCCTTGCCAGGGAGTCAGCAGTCTCATTGCCTTCCAAGCTAGTATGGCCAGGAATCCGGACCAGACACCAGAATGATTTTTCGATCTATCTGTGAACCAACAACTATCTGCTCTTAATATTTCCTTCTCCAGGAGAATCCAGTCCTCTCTACTCGGGAACAGTATTTTATAAGGTAGTTCGTAGTTGAAAGTTGGATGCATGAAGTCAGAGGTCATTTCCAGAATGCTGTGAGTTCTAGTGTCAACCAACATTCTGATGCACTCTGAATTAAATTGACTCGTGCTATTGGCAATGTGCACAAGTCTATATGCATTCCATCTAGCCTCTCTGTCCAGAAAAATGTGGAGAGGAGGTAGATCTAGAAGGATCTCCATGGCCGCTGACATTGTGCTACTGATGGCACCACTGATGGCCAGGCAAGTCTGTCTCTGTAAGCCAGAGAGCTTCACCTGGGCCGTTTTCTGTAAGCTCCAAGTTTCATCACAAATCCTTCGACAAGGCCATCGGGACAGTCTGGCTTTGTGTAAAACTTTTTCCAAGTGAGCGTTCCAGGTGAGTTTTTAACAAGGACAATGTCAAGATATTTCACCTCCGTTCCAAATGGAATGACCACACCATTGAGGGAGAGTGGCGTTAGATCGTCCAATTTTCTCCTTCTGGTGAAGGGTATTATCACAGTTTTGCTGCGGTTGACAGACATCTGCTCCACTGATGGCCAAGCAAGTCTGTCTCTGTAAGCCAGAGAGCTTCACCTGGGCCATTTTCTGTAAGCCCCAAGTTTCATCACAAATCCTTCGACAAGGCCATCGGGACAGTCTGGCTTTGTGTAAAACTTTTTCCAAGTGAGCGTTCCAGGTGAGTGGCGTTAGATCGTCCAATTTTTTCCTTCTGGTGAAGGGTATTTTCACAGTTTTGCTGCGGTTGACAGACATCTGCTCTCTCGGGCACCAACAGTGAACAACGTCCATCGTGCTTTGGAGGATATAACAAGCTACCCTTCCCGACGTGGACCTTGCCAAGATGACAAGGTCATCTGCATAATCTTGCAGATCTATTTCTCTTCTGTCGAGGGCATCAATCAGACTATCCATCAGGAGCGACCACAGAAGGGGAGATAGTACCCCACCTTGAGGGCAGGCGACCCTGAACTTAATGGCCTCGCAGTGAAAAGTCGTAGTTGCAGTTCTGTTCACCAGCATGGCATAGATCAAGCCAGTTATGGTCGATTCTATACCTTTCCTAGCCAGAGATGATCTTATAGATTTAGGTAGTGCATTGTCAAATGCTCCTTCAATATTGAGAAATACAGCAACTTCAATCTCCTTGTTGTCAAGATATTGGGAAATTTTCTCTACAATGTTGTTCAATGCTGAATCTGTCGATTTGCCGGTTTGATAAACATACTTGTGGTCATTCAGATGGGATGCATATAATGCCACCCTCCTGACGTGTCCGTCCAGTATCCTTTCAAGTCCTTTCAACAGGAAAGTTTTCACTTTTGACTTTTACAAGTCAAGACTAGAGAAGTCCAGTATTGCTTAGCATGCCATAGAGAACGGCCACAAAATAAGTGATGAATTCTTGAAATTATTGAGGCCTGTACATGACAACAAGTTTTAAGATGCCTTCTAAAATCAAATAAAAAAAAGTGGAATGACATATATGCATGGTGATAAAAGTTCGATTCCTAATAGATCACTGTTCGCATTAGTACATATTTATAGGAAGAAAAAGATTAGGTATCAGCCAGGTAGTAAATAACAATAGGACAATAAGAAAATAAATACTGAGAATTGATTCAACGTTCCTCATTAAGAGAGGTACCGATTCGTCTAGATTCATAAGTGAATATTATTGTAGCTTGTAAAAAGTAGTTTCAGTCATTTCTTAATGATGTAAACTTGGGTAGCGAAACGCGAATCGAGAGACAGCAATTTTGTTCTGGTGAGGAAAAATGTTTTTCAATTGAAGATTAGTTTTTTAATCAAGAATGTGAAAGAAAGCAAATAAAAGAAAACACTCTTAGGAATTGGAAACAGAAACGCCATAAGATAATATTGAAAGCAAAGGAGATAATTTAATATCTCATGGGAATGGGATAGGTCCGATAATGAAGCGCAAATAACCCAAGAATGTTCAATTTTCCAAAAAAGATCAATAATAAAATCATTGAGAAACTTGTCTACCAGAGACTTGATGGAGGCTGTATCCGTACAGAAAGGATTATGACTTTGAGTTCACCTCAAAATACCAGTAATCCTCTCAATGTATTTTGTCACGGTGAGTGAGGACTCTGTCGTTACGGACATACGTTCCCTAGCTAGTCATGGAGCAATATCTCCTCATCAAACCTAAAAACCTAAATGGTGCAGCCAGGAAGTGAACTATCACCTCCTCAAGAGAGGAATATCTTATGAGTCTTCTCTGCATCTCAAAAAAGAAACAAACTACCTCAAACAATGATTTATCCAAACCAGTAGCACAAAAGCGCTGCTTGGCTGAATATAGTATTCGTCAGGTGTAGCTGAGATATATAGGCTGCAATCTTCAATCTGGCACCTTGACTATCGGGCAATCTCAATATCAACGAGCTGATTGGAACCTCTTCAATGTGTCATTAAGGCTGCCGTAGGGGATATTTCAGAAGAAAGTCCACAGGTACGATTCCAGAGCCGCACATTACGGCCAGGATAGCTACCGGTCTCCAGCCACCCATTTGTGTTACACAATGATTATCGACCAGGTTCTCACTAGAAGGTGGTTGACAATGTTTCATGGTGCATTTCATTAGTTCGGACTTCCATTGTCTAATATGATATGAATTGATTTGAAATCCCTGAAAGAATCTGTGAAAAATTAAAAAGGTATGCTGAAGAATAACATTTATATCAAGCAAAAGAAACTGAAATTATAATGAAACAAAATACAAGAAAAAGAAACAAAAAATCAAAAAAATTGACCTATTAACACGAGATGAAAATTAAAAAATATTATTAACAAGAAATGAAAATTAAAAATTAAAAGATTCCAAAACCAAGTTACTACACGACGCGACATTTCGATTGTTAGTATCCACAATCGTCTTCGGGTGATAACTAATGATAATCAGATTGGTTTGGAATATTTTAATTTTCATTTCTTGTTAATATTTTTTTGATTTCCATCTCGTGTTAATAGTTCAATTTTTTTCATTTTTTGGTTGTTGCTTGCATTTTATTTCATTGTAATTTAATTTTCTTTGTTTGCTTAATATAATGGTTACTTTTCAGCTACCCTTTTTAATTTTGTACAGATTCTTTCAAGAATTTCAAATAAAGTTATATCATATTAGACAATCGAAGTCCAAACTAATGAAATGTGTTATATTTAAGTTTGGACTTTCAGCCGTTGAAGCCTGCCTTGCGTATTGAAGAAAGACATAAAATGATTTACGATTAGAGCAGTAAACTTTTTTGAGGGTGGACCAATCTTTATATATTTTTCAGGAATTGTTTCATATTGACTCTTTTGCAAATCATAACTACAATTTCAATAACCTCAAAAACCCAACCTAACCTCAAAGGGAATATAACCTTTTAGTGAATCATTGAAACAGTAATGTTTTAAGAAAACTTTTTAACGTTGAAGTAGTTACTATAAAAATTGGTATCTTCTAAAACAATGAATGGCGGCATAATGTGGATTTCAGACATTTATTCAATAGTTTTACATAAAGAGAATATTCAGAAAAAATTGGCAAATACAATACAAAGTTTCTATTCTTCTATGAAATACGTATTGAAATCTTTGTACTCTACTCTGTAGACGGATCATTGCGATTGGAGTGGTATAGTCTTTCATTTATCACTTTTTTCTACAGTTCTACACTATTATCTACACAAAAGTCATCAGGGTATGTTTTCAAGAACATTAAAAGCCATTGAAAAAGTTAATTCTCAATAATATAAATGTGAATTTTCCAAATACCCTTTCTTTCTTCCTGTACCTACCGAAATCTTTAATATACTTTTCCAATTTGTCGTTTTCCTCCTGGGATGTGATGCTGGCCAAATGCATGCCGTGGAATCTACAATACTGCGTTGCTCGATAGTAGTTAGCCTGAAGACAAAAAGAGATCGGCTTACTTTACGTTTCGAAATATATTTCTCAACAGATAATTTGCCTATGCGTTTTCACAGAGGCCGGAAATATGCAATGATTATTTGTGATAATGAAAAGGAAATGAATCATACAAAGAGTTACGAAGTTGCATCAGGTGATATTATTCACAAATATACAAATCAAGTTATTTATTTTGGTTTGTTCAGTTATATTATATTGATTAACTGAATGTATGTTCGCATTTACAAGGGTTGCTGGGGTACTTGAAGTACTTGAGTACTTAAAACAGATAATAAGCAAGTATTTGGAGGTGGAACTTATCAGTGATCCAAAATAATGTAATTTCAAACAAGTACCGGAAATTGGTCAATGAAACGCAAAATACGTGGACTGTTCAAAAAATATGGTGAATGTTAAAATTTCGCTGGTTAAGTACATTCGCGATTGATTTTTTTAAGTTGGTCCACTTGTCTAGAATATATGTTCAAAGGTTCAGTTGTTTAGCATGTTCAATTTGTTCGTGAGAGGCATGAAAGTTAGAAGTATTTTGCGTGTTCGACGATTTTCTGTTATGGAAAAAAATTGATCACAGATTTTGCATTAAATTTTGTATGACAACTAGAATTAGGTGCTCAAAAATACTTGAAATATTGACAATGGCATACGGTGATTGTAATCTGAGTAAAACAATTTTTACAAGTCGCCCAAACACATTAACAACCGATGAAAATGTTGAATCGTGGAATCGCTACTAGAGAAGTTACTGAGGATGTTGGAATATCGGTTGGCTCATATTATCCAATTTTTTAGTGAATTTTGTGCATGAAGCGTGTGGCAGTGAAAATCGTTCCAAAAATTTCTGAATTTTGACCAAAACCGTCGCATGAGCATCGCTCAGGAACTGTTGAATGACGTCAATTACGATACATATTTCTACAAAATGGTCATAACTGGTGATGAATCATGGGTACATGGTAATGACATCAAAACCAAAGTCCAATTGTCGCAATGGAAGAGCCCAGGAGAGCCAAGATAAAAAATAGCACGCCAAGTTCGATCAAATGTCCAGCTTTTGCTCACTGTTTCCTTGAATTACTGTGATGTAGTGCATTAGGAGTTCTTGTCACATAGTCGTTCGGCCAATGAGGAGTATTATCTTGAAGTTATATGCCGCTTGGGAAGAAAACGTCCGGTATTGCGGAAAAACAATTCACGCAGTTCGCAGGTGCATGATATTGCTCCAGGTTCAGGTGGAAACACATTACCCTTTGCCCCTCATGTAGACCTACGAGTTTGTAAGTACGTGTTGCAGGTACCCGACGGAAAGTCGTAGGTCTACATGAGAGGCAAGTGGTAAGGTGTTAAATCGAAGATTCTAACGAGCAGGGTATAATAATTACAGAGTATAATTTTCCACAAATGCAGCATTATTGTAAATGAACAAGAATATACCAGGGAAGCGGTAGGTACTGCTTGTGTGTGGGCACACACCATGAGTATATACAAACAATTATTTGACTAAAATTACGAATTATAAAATCAGTTATACAATTATTGTGAGAGCGAAATCTGTATAATTATTAATGCATACTACCATACAATATATTTACACAAATACACACACTCCCATATAATATGTGCGCTTATACACATTAATTTATTCGCAGGTAATATAATTATGAATTATAGATACTGCATATAGATAATATAATTGGTTCTAAACTTTCTAAATGTTAATAATATAAAAGACTTTCAAATGTGTTTTTATATATAAAAGTATGAACATATATAATGTTGGATAATAAGTATTGAGACAAAAAATATGAACTTTTAGGATTTCAAAATACTCGAATATACCGATATACAGGTACTACGTGCACTCAGGATAACATTATGAATATTTAAAATTACTTTCAATTTTCAATTATTGAGATTAAATACTTTTGGTGCTAAATAATGATAGCATTTTTGGTCTATCAATGTCGAAGCGAAAGGTACTAAATAATCATTTTTTTGTCTCGTAGTATAGGTATGAGAAGATTTATTAATTACGGTCTTATTGAAGAATTGAGTTGTAGCGATGTGGTAAAATAATATTTGTCTGAAATAAAAAATATCAGACTCTTCATAGAGAGCATCACTCGCGTATCCGTTGTTTTTGAAAAGTATCATTCTTAGGAATCGTTTTTGCGTTACTTCAAGTGGCTTTGAATAGGTTTTAGAAACCCCTGCCCATACGACTATTCCGGAATTTTGAGCTGTCTGGTTTCAAATATGTCTGCGTCTGCTATTCTCCTGAATCTATATAGAATACATCGTAGTTTTTTTACTAGATAATATATATGTGAGTTCCATTTGAAGTGCTTATCAATCATTATACCAAGATATTTAGTTATATCTGCTGACATAATGGTAAAGTTATTACCGATAGAAATTTGATTGTAGTGCGGTGAATAAATGTTATTGCTACTGAAAAGTAAGTAAATAGTTTGTCCGAAATTAATTGACAGCAATATATAATTCAGCCATTTTATCATCTAGGGAAAGTCATTTTCGATTTTATGTTTTGATTCCTGCCAAGTGTCACTTTCACAGAACAGGACAGTATCGTCCGCAAAACTTATTATTTCACATTCAGCTCCTGTGATGCATAGATTGTTCAGGTAAACACTAAAGAGTGAGGGCCCTAAAACGGTACCTTGTGGTAAACCACATGTAATCATTTGTCCCTTGTTGATGTGGTTTCGAATTCGTACTTGTTGTTTTCTTCAATTTAAATATAATTTCATAAGATTGTATACTGTACCTCTCATACCAATATCATTCAAGGTTTGCAATAGAATGGAATAGTCAACAGTATCGAAGGTTTTTGCCAAATTTACGAATACTTCGATGGAAGGTTTTTTCAAGTCTATAGCCTTGAATATTCGAACTGTTAGTTTTTTTATAGCATCTAGAGTTGATTTTCCTTATTATGATGACCAGCTCAACCTTCGAAGTTATGATAATGGTGGGGATGGTCACCTAACATCCTAAGCTTTTGGTGACTTGCGCCAGCACTTACGCCACATTTGGTGCAAAACCAAACCGGGAAGGAAGAATCCAAAACTTCCTGCGATACCAAAAAAGAGATAATGGCGGCGAAGGTCTATTGCATTCAACTAATCCGGTCCTGGTAGTTAGAAACACGTAAAATTTTCCAGAGACTTGTATAAGCTGAGAATCGAATAGTCAGAATGGTCGGTATTCTTTAGGTAGCGAAACTGGCATGTAAGCAACATGTCGATAGTAGTAAATTTTTTTCAACACATTAGTTTATTTTCTAACCAGATAAAGGTTAGCCATAGTCTTCTACCTATCAATTTATCATCTGAAACTCACATCCATTTCCTCATCATTTTATTTATTGATATATGGACGCTCAAGATTTGTAATCTGAATTTCTAATGATTGTCTTGTCAATTCAGAAAATATTGTGAAAAAGTGAAATAATTTTAAAGAATGAGTCAGATCGGACATGATCTGAAACTGACAATTTTAATGAAATTATTGAAAATCTCCAGGTTTTCCTTCAAAGTACCATAATTAGTAGAGACATATGAAAGAGGTAAGTATACAGGGCCTTTCATGATGAGCGTTAATAAGCCGTTTCTGGCAAACTATTCAATGGATCAACCTGAAAATTCCACAGTGTGCATAAGTCAATATGACCTACACGCCTAAAATATTTTAGACGAAGCGGCGTTGTCGTAGCGGCTTCTTTGATTTTTCAAATTGAACACCCCGTATATAATTTCATATTATGATTCATTATCACTTTGTCATCAAATTCATATACTATTTCCCTATACCTATCTATTACCGTTTAGAAGATATAAATTAATTTCGATATTTTTTTTACCAAGTTGTCGCTTTTATAAATGCTGATAATCTTGAACTCTCTTGCACTAAAACGATCAAATTTGAAATGGAGTGGAGTGATACTATGAGGATCAGGGTCTTCAAAAAATGCAGATACTTTGATCTCATGAAAAAATGAGTGGAACTCAATTTTTTCAAATGGAACACCCTGTATATTTCAATATTTTTGAGCTCTACATTCAATTTTAGATTAACTTCGTTCAGATAATACTATTTCTATTTTGAACCGTTTTCGAGATAAACTGTTTCAAACGATTTATGCATACTATGAAATTTTCAGGTTCATCCGTTAAATAGTTTGTCAGAAACGGCTAATTAACGCTCATCATGAAAAGCCCTGTATTTTTTTCTAAGAAAGTAAAAGTTCCATCACGACGAAATCGTGGTTGTTATAGGATTTAATGATGAATTTATTTGAATGCACTGGACTTTAATATACACTGATCTGCATATCGGGTAGCTAGAGAAACTAGAGAAACGTGAAAGTGAATATTCAGACCGGGAAGTCGATATCAGTAACTTATCAAAACTTCAATTATATTACAATAATACGAGAACTGCTTTTCAGAGTAACCGATTGAATTAATATTTTGAATAATTTGCATAATCGTCGATACGCTTTTGCACATCTTGCACATAAATCCATTTATAATCAATTTTTCTCAAGTACAAATCGATGTGCGCAACATCAGATCATTGTCATAACTGTCTTCTTGAAAAATTAACAAAAACCATTACCGACATATAAAAAGTGGGCAATCAAAAACGTACCACAAGGTCATGCTGCGAGAAAAAAAACTTTTCGCAAAAACCAAAAAACACTGCATGTTTATTCGTGAAGGGCATCAGTTTTGACCTTGAACCCTTCGATTGTCTATCTATTGCAGCTTCTATTACGTTTTCAAAAAAGTTAAATTGAAAATGATAACTTCCGAATCAGTCTTACTGTCAAAAGTAAACTGCTCCAGAATGATTACCTTTTTTCAGTTTTTGCTTGCTCAATTATCTAAAAGAGCATATTATGCTTCGTGAATTGTGGTGACGTATTTGAACATTATTTTGTGCCCTCCTCATTCGAAAATATTGTCATTTGCAGAAAAATGTCCTCAATCTATCAGTGCAAAGAAAATTATAGCTTACTACTTGAAAAAACTTAAATAACGTCATGCTTTGACAAATACATCTTTTTGTTATCTCAATAAATGTCATCACGAACATAAAAAAATTAATCGCCTGACATGTTTCGGTATTCTTCAGATAAATTTCTGCTACTTCATAAGCTTAGTGCAGTACTTTGATAACCCCGTATAATGTATGTTTCTTCTTCCTGTGATGCGTTATTCACCTTCTCCGATAATTTTCTGAGAAAGAAACTACCAAAGAACGTATTTCACAGTCACTTACAAAATCAAGAGACTTTTGAAATGGTCGGACGGTACTCAGTTGGTTAGCGTGAGTCGTGCTACTCATCCAAACCGCTGTTATGTGACATTTTAAATGTTTACTGTGTATCGTCTGATCCGTGCAAGAAATCTCATGTTGAAACGTGATACCTCGTTAATTCTCTTATCTTGCATTACTATAGGCTTCTGAGGATTGTTGTTCGTAAGGGAGCGGCAACTGGTTAACGGGACAAATATATTTCAACACACACATTTAACACACACTTGGATTAATTTAGATGTCAGGAAAAGAGGATTCTGTTGCTCTCAACAATTTGTGTATGGAAAGGTCATCCTTTAAAACCAAAACTGACTTCTTTTTGCAATATCTTCGATTCAGTATTCAAAATGGAAACTTTCCATTGGAACATATTGTATTATTATCATTGAAGTGCGTTTATCAAGTCAGTTATAGATTTATTATGAGCTAAACAAAAATATTATCAAATATCACCGAGTTTTGAGTTCAATCTTCTGTTTTCCGGTTGCGCTCTGACAGAAACTTTTGGGTATAATTTGAAAATTTTTTGAATGAATCCTGATTAACATTTGACACTTGTTTCTCATTTGCTTCAAGTGTTCACAACTATTTTTACTGGAAAGAGAAATAAAATAAAAATCTATGCATTTTTCCAAAAAGTTTTAACTGACATTCCTCCATTTCGTCCTTTATTTTGCTATTAATATATTCAAGACGTTGAGAATTTCAAAATTCGTTTTTTATCGACCTCTTTTGGGTATTTTTCACCTTCCACATTCTGAAAAATATAAAAATTATAATGGAGAACTTTATACAAGCGTAGAAAGAGCAAACTTTGTAGTTTACCCCGATAAGTTACTGCGTGAAATCAAAGCATTTTTCACAAAAAAACTTGTCGTATTTAACAATTTTGCTTATCAAAAAAATTTGCTAAGAAATAATACGATACTTATCTTTACGTTTCGGGCCTAAATCTGCCTCCTTTTTCAGAAATGGACAAAAAAATTCTAGGATATTTGCAGTCATTTTTTTTGATTATTTATTTAACAACTTCTTCGACAGATGTCAAAGGCGTTTTGAAATATGAGATGAAATATGAAATTATGTTAATGTTTTTGATTGACAACTGAAGCATTCGATGTAATACAAGGTGCTCTCCGATATCAGTCTGTTGCCATTTCGCCACTTTCCAAATTTTTCTTCAAGATGAGTAGTCACGTACAGTCCATTTCCAGATAAAAGCATATATGCTGATTCTTCCAGCTTACGTCTCTTGGAGTCAGGCTCATTGCTAATCATTCTTGTCTTGTTCCATTCCACTCGATGTTCACCGTCTGATTTTAAAATATGTTCTGACAATTTAGATACAAAAAATGACTTTCGTTGAATATTTAAAAATTCGCCTTTTATTTTTCACTATTCCACAACTTATTTACCTTGCACGTAATATTTGATTAATTTAATTGATTACACTTCGAACTGCTCGAGCTCAGTTTCATTGCCAATAATCTCAAATTAATAGAGAGACTATCAGTAGATGACAAATTCGAATGTATTGGTATTGAATGCAAATTAAACAAAACACCAAGTGTTATTATAACACTTGGTGTTATAACACTTGGTGTTATAATAACACTTGATGTTTGATATTTTTGCAACAAAGTAAGAGGAAGCACTACAAACAATTACCAAAAAGTTTAATAAGCATAAGGTACTGATTTTTTGTGATTTTAATGTGAAAGTTCTTGTGGAATCTGTGAACTTGACTTCATTAAAAGAGTTGCTTGAGTTATACTGTATTTATAATTTAATCATGGAACTAACAAGGGGCAAGTCGTGTTTGGACAACATATGTGCCAATGACGATGGCCCTTAGGTAACCGATGCCTGAGTAATTAACAATCACTTCAGTGATTATTTTGCTCAAACTGTTTCGATGCAATTCTCAGAAAATACAGACAGCCATTGCAATGGAATATACTATAGAGGCCTACAGAATGAGAATAATATTGTAAACTTCATCTAGTTTTGAACATGAACACATGAACACTCAAATAATGAACTTGATCACAGCTTGTTGCTAAATTCTAACGGCAGATCTATCACTGAATGAACGCTGTACACGGACTACCCATATAAATGAAGTGTGAAAAAAACTGGCTTCAAAGTGTTATCTTCTGTACCGACTTAGGAAGACCGTCGAAAAATCTGTATTGATTATAATATATTTGGCACACTTTCAGTCACTAATGACATATCGAATCATAGTATGGGGAGTATCCCAGGAGTCCGATAGGGTACTCAAACTCCAGAAAAGAGCAGTTAGAAATAACGTTGGAGTGGCCAAGAGAGTAAACTGTAAGAATATATTTGTACAGATATTCAGAGCGCTGGGAAACAGTAGATATCACACAAGAAATGCAGCAATCCTGGAAGTGCCGAATCACCGGCACCGTCTCCAAAAAACAGAACGTTGCCCAACATACCCTTGTTTAATCATCTACCAAACTGCTACAAAGATCTTCCTTTGAATAAATTCAAAATAGTAGTAAAAAATATCTACTCTATGAGTGGGTATCTGGGAGGCACATATTTTATCTGATTTTATATTTCATGTATGCATGCATATTTTAATATTTTATATTTTATCAAACCACTTTGTTTTTTATTGCTTTTAGATATTCTTTTGTATGATCTGCAATCTGTTTACTACTATACCGAGTCCTTCTACATGCTTTCTTGCACTTAGTTACATCAATAACTATATTAATTATATTGACCACCATTTGTGAAAAATGTTTTAAATATTAATATATCTTTTTTCATAACTGATAATGTACTATACTGTCTTGATCTATATTATACCAGACATAATCTAAAGAACTAATAAACTATTATTATTATTATTAATATCATTATTATTATTACGAGTATTGAATCAAAGTTGCCTTAACATTGTTTTAATTACAATGACATTGAGTTAGTAAAAAAACTTGATGACGAGTAATCATATGAAAATTTCTAATGATGATTGTTTTATTCGAGAATATGTGTTAGTAGGATTTTATTTGGCGTTCGCTTAGATATTTCTTCAGACCTCGTAATGTTCAACAGTGAAAGTTGCTAATTTAAAAAATGATTACCACAAAAATGTCAATACGGAATATGAAACCGACACTTGTAATATTAACATATGCGAGTTTTTGGAAAAATTAATTGTTTAATTGGTTTATTACAGTTGATTAGAAAGTTTCGATAATATAAAACAATAATTATTCAATACTAATTAAACACTTGTCAACAATTACGTATTCCTAAATATTTTTCAATTGACCAATAAAATAATTATCTGCCAAAGAGACATATTCCGAAATAATTATTTAACCATCCAACTATATTCGGAGAAGTGCATGACCTTTTCAAAAATCACGAATGAATTGAAACCTTTTCATGTTGAAAGAAAGTCTTACCTTGAAAAATATTCCCAGATAGTATCGTTTCTCTCCTAGTTTCAAAAGTGGCATGGTCCATCTATTGGGTGCTGCAATTGAATCATCTATGCAATTTGGACAATCTGAAAAAATAATAATTATGAGATCTCTGAGTGATACGTAATTCTTATTAGCAAAAAACATGTTGAAGATGCAAAATTGAACAATATGCAAGTGACATTTTTCATCATTCATCATTCAATATTTGGTTGTGATATTTTTTATTTCGATTGTTGTTGCTACGTGGAATAATCAATTTTCTTGGAGTTTTAATACCAACTAGAATGACCGAAATCAGATAGAATTACAGAATAACATATAGGCTCAAAAATTGGGATTATTGAATAAGAAACGTCTACGATTTCAATATTATATCTAAAGCATCACTACATGTCCTTCCTTACACAGTGACACTCTCTGGAAGATGTTTCAAACTCAACATCTACAAACTATACAACTACTGCCGAGTCAAGTGTAGTAGGTAGGTAAACCTTCAGAAAGTATTCAAAATTATTTCTCCAAACACAAAATATCAACAGCTTTCATCAGTAATAATAATTTAGGTAGAACCCTGTTAAATGCAAAACCCAAACGGGATATAATGAAAAAATCAGGTATATATAGAACAGAGTGTGGCGAATGCTCTGCAGTACATACAGGCCAAACCGGTAGAAATTTTGAAATAAGGCTGCGTGAACACGTTTGGACAAAAAATCCACAATGTACGAACATCTTCAAGAATCAAGACACAAGATGAATAAAGATAACCTCAAAATCCTACACATATGTGATAAAGGGAAGAAAATGAATTTGTTGAAAACCATGTTAATTAACAAATCAACCAAAAATATATACCCCTAAATGAGCAACTTGATTTATGTAGGTCTCCTCTCTTGAATTTATAAGTTTAACAACCCCTAGAATTTCCAGTGGTGAATTTTAAAGTGGGCATGCTGGTTTGCCAACTACCTGTCTCTCAAATACCTGTCTTTACTTCTGATAAATCCGAGTGTTCAAACTCCATATCTCAGTTTTATACTTGATAATGGGGTCAAACCCGAAACCGGTCTTATAAATAAAATCAACTAGTGGTAAGTAGACAAAAGTTTTTTCATTCATTTCATTAACGTTTTTTCTTCGGCCTACTTTGATATATTATGGGTATCCTCATACGAATATTGAGATTAATAATTCATATTTAGAATTTTTCCACAAGTATCTTGAAGAATCTTGAGTTTTCCACTAGAAGCCTCTTTTAGATTGCGTCGGGGCTTTGCTGTATTCAAAGAGGGATATTTGTATTAGTTCCATTCAGTTCTGCGTGTTTCAAGATTTCTCCAGTATTTTAGTCATAATATTGACATTCTGAATCGTCATTTCTTTCACCATTGCGGTAAAATAGCATAGTTAAAGTACAATTGATTCGAATTGGGATTATTGATGTCATTATAATAGTATGGATGGAAATATATCTCAATCGTGTAGCACTTCACTTGAAGAAATATGCGATTGAACGTGTCAAGCATAAACATGCGACGAGACTGAGATCCATAATGTAGGTTGTCGCTGTATCAAGAGAGTTCGATTTTAACATCTTATTAATTCAAAGAATTCCATTATCACTTTCACAAAAATAATTTTTGATCGTCTAGATTTATAGGTATAACAGGTGTTTCGAAAATAAAATATTGTTGAGAAGTTATTCGATTACGTATAAGAGAACGGTACAAACATTCAAAATTCCGTCAGTAATAGAAATAATGTTTCATTAATTGTTTATGAAACACACATTTTCTCCTTACTCTACGAATTAGCTCAAAAATAAATTATGATTCATTTTGAATTTGATGACGTACAAATTCGAATATAAATTAGGTAACAATGTAAAAAATAGGACATCAGGTTTAGTATTGACATTATTCATAGTGCATTTCTGAACATATGCAAATTTTCTCTTTTACCAATTTCATGAAACTATTGTTTGGTATACGTTTGTAATTTGAAATTGAACCAAGGCCTCCTGCGTTTGAAAATGATAACTTGTTTTTTTATATGACTTATGAGAAAAAACGCCATTCGTGTGACCGTCTTTTGTTTCAACAAACACCTTCGAACCACATTTATAACTCACTACTTTAGAAGTCCATCACATATGAGCAAATTCAAATGTGTTTGGGAGAAAACTTTGTCACATGAAAATTTGCTGTTACAACCATTCACATTTCAATTTGCAACATATTTAAATTACCCAATTCAAAAGTGTTTACTCAAAACAGTCTCACAAACATGATTAAAATTGATGGAGTTCACATTAAAATATTTCCTCTCGATTTCCTGAAACAGAACAATTGTGAAATCTATCATTTATTCGTGAAAATTATTACATGATTTCAGGTTTTCAATCAAGTTGGGGTTTACAGAAATCTGCTTTCTCAGACACCAATTATGAACGTTGTCCAGAGTTCTTTGTAGGATATTAAGGTCTAGTTTTCCCGACGTGGTCTTTGCCAGGATAACGATTTAATTTGCATGAGATTGAAAATCTATTTTTTCCTGGATAACATCTTGTTGTATTTTTCGAACCGAATATTCTTTATTCTTGAATGAATTTAATATATTTTCACCTGCTCTGTATGTTGTTCGGATTGAAGTCCTTCTGAATGCATTCAGTATAGTTAAAGAACATGCGGTAACTTTCGACGGTATTCAAATTTCGATAATGCATTTCTTCAACAAGTTCCCATTTGTTGCACATTGTATAAAAAATAATTTCATAATTTTGAGTTATCTTTTAGGAGTTGGTTCATTTTTTTAAATCACTTTTTCCTTTGAATGTGAAACTAAAAAGACAATTGATGTCCACCTCAATTATATATCCTACAACACCACAATATTTTAAGTGAAAGCCAGTTTGGTTTTCAAAGCAATAAAAATACGCACGATGCCATCTTTTCATTTCTTTATGATATTTATTCGAAGTTTAATTCTGGTAAAGTAGCAGCTGTAATCTTTCTAAGGCGTTTGATTGCGTTGATCATAAGATTTTGCTAAGAAAAATTCACCAATAGGGCTGCAGAGAAATCGCTCAAATCGTTTGAATTTTACCTTTCAGGAAGGAATCGAATGGTAAGAACAACAGGACTTTCAAAAAAAAAGAAGGCAAATTTGGTGTGGTGTTCCACAAGGATCAGTTTAAGGACCCATCTTATTCTTATTATATGTCAATGACATTGCAAATTTGAGCATTTTTGGAAATTTAACCCTTTTCACTGGTGACAGCGGAAAGGGCGAAAAGGAACAATAAAAATTCAAATGATTTACACAATGCAATATCTACTGATATGAAAAGAATCAAGGAGTGGTGTGATACTAATTTGCTATCCTTCAATATCACTAAAACAATCATTTTATTATTCAGGTGTGCTAGTGATCAAGAACGAGACTCAATCTAAATTTCTAGGTATTCACATTGTGAATAAGCTCAAATTTATTGAACATATCAAACAACTTAAAGTAAAATTTGTTCTGGATGTTATGCAGTAAATGTAACTTCAATAAATTTAGGAATCAAAAATGCAAGAACGGTGTATTACGCCATCGTTGAATCCCACCTACGTTATGAAATTCCGTTTTGGGAAGTATGCAATTCATCAGCACTTCTGTCTGTATTAGTACTGCCGAAATGGGCTATGAGGTATATGTGTAAGAATAAACCTCGTGATTCATGCAGACACAAATTCGTTGAGCAAAAGATTTTAACAGTGATTGCTTTGTTCATTTTGGAATCGGTTTGCCTCATTTACAAAAATATGTCTCTATTTGAGGCTTCATGTCATTCTTATAGCACCCGTTCCACTGCGTTGAAATTGCCAATTCTTTTAACAAATTTGGTCAGGAGTTTTATTCATTACAATGGGGTCAAGATGTTGAATCACTTGCCCTCAGATATAAGACAAGCAAATTTGACCAACAAAATGTTTGCAAGAATTCTATAATCATAAATTTACGTGACAAAATGTGCATATTTGAATTTAGGTTATTTAAGATTTTTGTTTATATTCTTCTTTGAATATAAATGTTTGAATATCTGGTGCAATGGGTGTGTTTACTTATGTACTATTATATATGTTCATATTTCTATTATATAAGTGTTGATAATATTTTTAAACAAATCTATACACAACAATGTTGATACAAAATTTTGACGTTGAACTATAGTGAATGTTCTAACTTTACTTTTTTTTAGGTGTTTTTATATTCACATTTCATATTTCTATACTTACATTTATTTTTCACAAGCTTTGTCCACAAGATTTATTTTCAATAACAATAAAGTATATTATTATTATTATTATCCCATTAAAATACTAACTGTAACTTAATGAAAATTATGTACGTGTGTTCACAATAACTTTCGTCAGAAAGTAGCAATGTGCTTCAAACCTATAGAAAAAATCAAGATCAAATATCAATTTAGATAATTCTTCACATTTATATTCATGAAGATGAGCTCTGTTCTTACATCATTAACACAATAATTGAATCCGTGCTTCGTAAGTTAATTACTTACATTGAAAATAAAGTATCGTACTTATATAGAATGATACGGTAATCGTAGTTTTTTTCGAGAAAATGTTATTAGCACAATGCTTTACTGCATTCCCGACCTTCTAATGACTCTCAAAGCTTTCTTGAGAAACATCTCATTATTTCCCAAAAGGAATATTCAGTAATTAAAGTAATGGGCTTGTCCCACACTGTTTGAAATGGAAGTAAGTGATTGGTATACTCAACACTCAATGCCTATCAAATAATAATAATGATAATAAATGGTTTTCATTCAGCATACACAATTTTTCAGTTTATAAAGAGAATATTATTTCAGTCAAAAAGCGTTCAGACAGATATACGTAAATATCATTGTTTAATGAATGTTGGAGATATTCTTTATAGTTCTACAAAATTCATCGAATATTTTATTCACTATATTCCTGCAAATTAGTTTTATTCAATATATTTTTTCATCAATATATTCTTGTCGAATATATTATCAAATATAATATGTTATTTTGAAACGATAAAC